GGATGACGTTTTCCAGAAAAACCTTCAGCACCCCGCGAGTCTCCTCATAGATCAAGCCAGAGATACGCTTCACTCCGCCACGACGAGCCAAGCGGCGAATCGCAGGCTTAGTAATGCCCTGGATGTTGTCCCGCAACACCTTACGGTGGCGCTTGGCGCCTCCTTTTCCCAAACCCTTTCCACCTTTTCCACGGCCAGACATCTTGGCAATCACCGAAACCCAAAATCTATGAATAACCGCTTCACCGTCTAGCTCACGTTTATATTGGTTGATTTCCGACCAGAAGGAAAACTGCCGCGATGAACGCGAGAGGGGGAAGTTACAGCCCAGTCACCCAATTAGGCTACGACTTGATAGGGCGATGCCACAGAGCCTTCTCCAGTAAGGCTCAGCCGCATTTTAAAACAGCAAATGACTAAGCAGTTGCTAAGAGTTAATCTGAATAGTTTTTTCTAAAAAAATATATTAAAAAATGGTCTCATAGATCTATAGTTGTCTCTTTATCTTATCCCTCCTGCCTAAAGCAACGTTTGTTTCTTCTTTTAGGGATACCGGCATACCAAATGTACAATGAATAATCAGCACACGGGAAATTCTGTATACTTTTTCCCGGGCTGTTTCCATCTACTACCAAGTTCTACATTAAATTTCCTAACTGGGCTGGAGTCGGTAACTTGGATATTCCATATAGTTTTCTTTGCAAGAGTAAGGAAGTGCTTTGTGATTGACAACTTGGGGAAAAAGAAACTGATTCAGGCTCTGTGTGTTTACTAGGGCCCGGGAGCAGGAACAGAATTGGTATGGTATTTATGTTTTCAGTTTAAAATAGAAACCCAAGCAAAGGCATGAATTAGAATACATTTTAAATGGCAAAGGTTGCGTATTCCAAGTAATCTCATAGGCTGTAAAATAATATTCAAGCATGTCACTTTATATTTATTAAAGTGACAGAAGATTTTATATAATTACATACACATTAATTTCATATTTAGTACTGAGGCATTTAGGCTTTCATTAAGGATGTCTGAGTCCTGTTTCCTTCTTCAAGTTTGAAAGCTTGGAGGCCTTTTTCACTAACCTTGATAGATAAGAAGCTATACCCATAGACAAGATAAGGTATGCATTCCAAGGATACCTTTTCCTAGGGAAAAGGTGTTTAGTTAAAGGTCAAGGGGCCTGGAAAGGAAGGAAATTCCTAATATGGAATGATACTGAGGTGGGAAAGGTGACGGGTGGTATTCTAACGGAGGAGCTGAATGAAATGTATATATTGTGGCAAAAGGAGGGGGTCAAGTGCAGCCACCCACCTAACAGCTTGTTGTCATCGCTTTTGCTCTTGGGTGAAGAATAAAGAACTTAATTTCATGCAACTGCCTGTTGTCTCTTTGATCCCAGCTCAGAAACGAACTGGTGGGAAATAATTCTTAACAGAAGTACAATATTTCAAGCATTTAGCCTTCCTCCTTGAACTGAGGGACCACTAAAAATGGCTGTTTTGTTTTGAAACATGTATCTTGTATGTACAATAGAGGAACATAAACGTGATTGAATCAGAAAAGCTTTGTTGGGATTCTTAGAACTGATTTTAAGCTTAGCAGTTTTGCTTGTACTGTATTAAGTTTCTCTCCAGGAAATCATAGGCAGGATGTAGAAGCATTTCAAGCAAGCAGCTGATAAGGTAACAATCTGACAAACTATTGACTAGTAGCTGATTGTGAGACAGTTTCCTGTAGCAAAGCAAGAATTACAAAGTAAATATTTATCTGTTACCATAACTCAAGAGAAGCAAGTGTATTTTTCTTAGATTATTTTGGAATTTATAGATTAAAAAATAAGAGAATGGAATACAAATGCACATACTGCAGAGTCTTGTATACAAAAACAGTAACTTGGACATACAATATAGAATGCAATTTCTTCCGGAGTGAAGGAGAGCAACTATTTACGCATCCGGTTTGGGATCAGAAATATTCAGAGAAAGAATTGGCCGAGCCTGATCTTACACACTACACAAACAAAAATAAAGTTTGTTCATGAACCCGCGGCTCTCCATCGCATACCAGCAATTCAACAATTATAAATTCACAGTAGTATAAATAATGGCTCTTAACCTCCAGCTTTTCCAATTAGCTGAACAGCATCTAGAGATCAGCTCCGGCAAAGGCGCATATGCAAATTGCGGCTCTCGATGTCTCCGTCCCTACTGGGGGAAAAGCAATATTTCTTTATTCAATTGGTCCTGCTGAGAAACCCATTTTTGCATTGGCTGCGGTCCGTTGACGTCACAGACAGCCAATCAGAAGTGCCGCTTTCAAACGGTTAGGCAGGCATAAAATGCCCCCCGCCCCTCTCTTCGCTGTAAGGAGTTTCCTTACGTGGGCAGAAGGAGTCACTCGCTTAAAGGAGCCGCAGGATGTCTGGCCGAGGCAAGCAGGGAGGCAAGGCGAGAGCCAAGGCCAAGTCTCGTTCTTCCCGAGCCGGACTGC